AAAAAAAAAAGAAGACAAGTGGTGGACAAAAAAAGAAAAAGAAAAAAGGGGTGGACAAGAATCAAAAGCCCGTATTTGCTGAATACGGCTTTTGATTTTTTTATTTGTAAAACGTATTCCGTGAATACGGTTTCCTTTGTAAAAAAAATGTAAAAAACGTATTCCTTAAATACGTTTTTTAATTAAATTACACAGAAAACGTATTTACAAAATACGTGCTTTCTATGTTGGTCCACTCCCCCCTTTTTTTTTTGTTTTTTGTCCACTTATTATTTTTTTATTTTTAAATATATAAACTGCCCTATTTATTTATTTAGAATATATGCTTAGTGTAAAGTTGGTTAAGTGATTGAAGGGGAAGGAACTTGATAATAACATCTTTTTTTCCTCTTAACTCTGTGTGCTATTATTTTGCTTTAATTATTTTTTTTTTCATTTTATTATGGATGATATATGATTGAATAAACTAATAATGGATTGAACTATTTGTTTTTTATAGATGACAGTTGGTTGAATAAGTTAATAATTGATTAAATTATTTAATTATGCATAGTGCTTGATAAATAATTAACTATGTATAAAAAATAATTTTATAATCATTTGTTCCCAAAAACTTTTATATTATTTTCTTAGTTACTTTTGAGTCCAAAAAATATTTTAGATCGTTATATATGAAGCAATCAAAAAATAGAGTGCTTAAACTCAAACATAATTTAGCTCAAAACTACCAAATAAAGGCTATATATATTTTTTTTGGGCAATAAGATAAGAAAGAATAAAACACACACACACGCATGCAAGAATTTGTCCCAATTTCACAAATTTCTGAAAAAGTCGGTTTATATAAATATTTGGTGGCCGCCGGTGGGTGTGGAAAAAGTCGAAGACAAAAGGGGCGGCGGTGGGGGCTTGCAAAATGGGATTATACTAATATTCAACTGTACTGAACTGAGAGAGAGAGATCAGACAATTATACTAATATTCAACTGTACTAAGAGAGAGTTTGGTTCGTCTGGTCGAAGCTCCAAATTAGTGATCATATTCAGTATGAAGAAGGTAAAGGAGAAAATGGAGAAGACGCAGTCCACGAGACAGCTGAAGGCTATGCTCCGCAAGAACTGGCTTCTCAAAATTCGGCACCCTTTCGTCACTTGTGCAGAGGTTTTTTAAGCTTTCACTCGCGCATCCACTCAATTTGCAGCTATTTTATTTTTCTTTATTTTCTTATTGCATGTTTAATGATTATGGGTTCCCTCATATCATTGTTATTAGTTTCTTGCATGAGTTGTGATTTGGGTTTCTGGGTTTCTTCCAGCTGTCTAGCATGCTTCTTTGTTTTGGGGTCTTAGTGCTGATGTAGCTGATTGTTGCATTTGCTGGTTTTGTTTAAAGTTTGAATCTTTTAACAAATTGGAGTATAGGGGTGGTTGAAAAATCATTCTTCACATTGTTTTAGTGCTGGCCTAGGCATATAATGTGTAGTTGATTCATGTATTTTCCTTCCATCTGGCAGATTTTGCTTCCAACTGTTGTTATGCTGTTGCTTATAGCTGTAAGGCTTAGAGTTGATACACGAGTACATCCTCCGGAAGCGTAAGTATCTAATTTCAATTTATTTAAGGAGCATTGAAATTCTTACTGTAATCATTATTTTTTATTGCTGAACCAAAGGGATGCTTAATAGTGCACAGATCATTTCACTGTATGCCGGAGATCCGAATATATACTTTGCTTCGAAGTTCAAATCTTATATAACGACCTTAGAAACTGAGAATATGGCGTCTGGTGCAGATATATCAGAAAAGACATGCTTGTGGAAGTGGGAAAGAGTGAAAAGTCTGCACCTTTCGAACAAATTTTGCAATTGTTATGTGCCAAGGGTGAGTATCTGGCGTTCGCACCTGATACAAATGAGACGAAGATGATGATTAACTTACTGTCTGTAAAATTTCCTTTGCTTAAGGTATGTACATATATTTCTGTTTGATTTATCCCCCGGTGTCTCCCTCACTTTTTCACAATCTGAGTCTTATCTTGTGTTTTAAGTTTATATGCTCGAATGTGGTTATGTACTGAGGTCATTCTCAATGATGCCACGTCTCCTATCTTCAATACGTGGTTGGATTGTTTTTTTTCCCCCGTTTATTAACCTGAAGAAATTTCTTTGAAATATATTGAGGGTGGATTATTTTTTTCCCCCAGTTACTCGTGTTACTCATATTTATAACTGTTTTTCAAAATGTCTATCTTACTTCAATGTAATCCAGATGGCTGCCAAAGTTTTTCATGATGAAGAAGAGCTTGACGCATACATACACTCAGATGCTTATGGTGCTTACGATAAAGTGAAGTGAGTTATGGTTTTTTTTTTTTTATTTTATTTGCCTCATTTGATTTTCATTCTTTCTACTGGCTTGGGGTTTCCACTTTTCAGAACACAAATAAATAAAAACTCTTCATCTCGGCCACGTGTCTGTAAATATAAGTCTAATTTTCTGAGTTCATTGATCTAAAAAATGTCAGTATATGTTAAAAAAAACTGACACAACTTCATTCTTCTTGTAGGAATTGCACTAACCCAAGAATAAAAGGAGCAATTGTGTTTCATTCTCAAGGGCCTCGATTGTTTGACTATAGTATACGCTTGAATCACACATGGGCATTTTCAGGATTTCCTGATGTTAAATCCATCATGGACGTTAATGGCCCTTTTCTTAATGACTTGGAATTAGGTGTGAACATAATACCAATAATGCAGTACAGCTTCAGTGGATTTTTAACTGTATGGTCTCAAGTATCCTTCTACAGTTCTTGAGGAATTTTATTTAGCTTTTAGTTTTACCATTCATATTATGCATAACTGCTTAAGATGTCTCAGGATCTGGTAACTGGTTCTGGGTGTGTTACTTTCTTACTAATGTTAAAGCAAGTTACTGCTTCTATTCCTTCCCTCAGGACAATCAAAAAGGAAAAAAAGAAAAAAGTGACAATATTTATTAATTTGTTTATACTGTAGAGTTTGTCATCTTCTATAATTTTAAATTTTGACTGATGAGAAATGTTATCTGTGTATTGATTTATTTTTGAAAATATTTTGCGAATTTTTTCTCAACACCTTCAGCAAATTATTTAATGAGACCTAGAAACTGCAAAAGCTTTCTGTTTGCCAAACCATCTTTATTTACATTACTCCTCTCTTTGCAGCTTCAACAAGTAATGGATTCGTTCATTATATTTGCCTCACAACAACAAATGACAAATTCAGACACCACAGAACTACAATCACTATCTTGGATGCAGTTTAGCCCGTCTAACATAAGACTTGCTCCGTTTCCAACTCGTGAATACACAGATGATGAGTTCCAGTCAATCGTGAAAAGCGTCATGGGGGTTTTGTATGTATTTTTTGCTGGCTTGTGTTTTTTTTCTAATATATTCTTTTTCAGCCGTGCTTGCGTCTTTATGGCTTTTCATTTCATTACTTTAACAGGTACTTGCTGGGATTTCTCTATCCAATCTCTCGGTTAATTAGTTACTCTGTTCTTGAAAAGGTAGGGTGCATCACCTTTTGGGGTTGAGTTGAAATATTGTTCCTGTCTTCTATTATATGTATTAAGGTACTGTTTTTTCTGACAATTTAGGAACTGAAGATCAAGGAAGGTCTCTACATGATGGGCCTTAGAGACAATATATTCCATCTCTCGTGGTTTTTGACATACGCGTTGCAGGTTTGGTTTACAAATTTGTGTTGTTAATGAAAATACTGCCACTGTGTGACATTTATTTCCTATTTATATCATGTCTTGGGGTTAATCCCATTAATCAATATCTGTTCGAATGATGATCGCTTTTACGTGAAAGTTGGTGTATTAATATGCAATTTTGGCTTTATTTTATGATTCTTATCCCATTTGCTATAACATAACATACCTGGGAGTGTCTTCATTTTATTGATGCTTGTTTATTTCCACTATTCATGTACTTGTGATTTTACAAAGTTACTGGTCAACTTTTTTACCTGATGAGTTGCGCTTATGAGAGCATCTTTATTTTTTGCAGTTTGCCATTTCCTCTTTAATTATCACTCTTTGCACGATGGGGACCCTTTTTAAGTACAGTGACAAGACTCTGGTGTTTGTGTACTTCTTCTGTTTTGGGCTGAGCTCAATAACGCTATCATTTCTGATCTCTACATTCTTCACACGGGCGAAAACTGCAGTTGCTGTTGGGACACTTGCTTTCCTTGCAGCATTTTTCCCTTATTACTCTGTAGATGAAGAGACTGTTTCGACGTACGTATTACTGGTTATATAAATAATACTCCCTCCTATTCTTTTTATGTCGTTCTGTGCTTTAACACATAAATTAAGAAATTTTTTTCTTGCCAATATTAGCCTTATTTAAAGCAAATTAATATTAGTTACTTTCTTTCTTTTCTTTTTTTTTTTTTTTTTTAATTCATCGTCTTCCACATCTTTCCTCCCAAAAAATTGTAGTGTATTAAGTAAATGAGGGTAACAATGAAAAAATATGTATAAAAGATCCAAAACGTCATATATTTGATTAATAATCATAAAAGCCAAAATGACAGATAAAAAGAATAGGAGGGAGTAATATTCTTTAGTGGTGCAGTAAACATTTTTGTTTTCATTGTGTCTGTAGGTTGTTTAAGGTCTTAGCATCTCTTCTTTCACCCACGGCATTTGCTTTGGGCTCAATTAACTTCGCTGACTATGAACGGGCTCATGTTGGACTCCGATGGAGCAACATCTGGCGGGTATGCATTCATAATAACTCTATGGTCCTTTATATTTAATTCCAAAAATAAAATATATTAATTGAATGTTTACTACAGGATTCCTCTGGGGTTTGCTTTTTGATCTGTCTTCTGATGATTTTGCTCGACACTTTCTTATACGGTGCTATTGGTCTCTACCTAGATAAGGTAAAACTTCCCTAAACTTTAGCTGATCCTTAAAATTAGGTTTGTTTCCTCACCAAATGATATTTTGACGTTAGTTGTCTCTGTTTATTATGAGTTCAGGTCCTTAATAAGGAAAACGGGGTAGGCTTCACTTGGAGTATTGCGTCGTTTAAGAAATTTTTGAAGAAGAAGAAAAATACAAATGAACAGTTCTCTTCCAGTTCACTTGTGAAGTTAATTGATAGTGAGTATGAAGAAAATCCTCGTCTTTCTGAAAGAGGGTCTTATAAGCCAGCTGTTGAAGCCATAAGTTTTGAAATGAAGCAACAAGAACTCGATGGACGGTAAATATATTGCAGCGCTTACCTAAAATTTTATAAATATTTACAATCGTGTATCTTTGTACTTATTTTATTCTTCAATTTCTTTTTCCAGGTGTATTCAGATTAGAAATCTGCACAAGGTGTATGCTTCTAAGAAGGCTAGGTGCTGTGCAGTCGATTCTTTACAGCTGACTCTGTATGAAAATCAAATTCTCGCACTTCTGGGTAACCAAATGTTCTATGTCGAGGCTCGTGTGCTTTATATCCGTCGATTTGTGATGCATGTTTAACTGAATCATGTATGCATATTTCAAATTTGATTTTGTAAGCCATTATTCAGACTACCAGAGGAAGTTTGATCTTAATACCCTTGATAATGGGTGTCATATGTTATATACATCAGAAATGTGTGAATAAAATTGCATCAAGTGTAATGGTTTAAAATCAACACTTTCTGCAGGACATAATGGGGCTGGTAAAAGCACAACAATGTCTATGCTTGTCGGTCTTGTTCGTCCGACCTCTGGAGATGCTGTAGTTTTTGGAAAGAACATCTTAACGGACATGGTAACATATTAAATACGATTTTTTTTCTCTTTATATTTATTTATTTTTGGTTGAGTAGGTGAGGTGATTAGGTTTTATGACATTGTATGAACAACTAAATGCTTGATTTTGGAGCAATTTCAAAGTTTTATTTTTGGGTGTTACGCTGTTGATTTTGCAGCATGAAATACGGCAAAGTTTGGGCGTTTGTCCGCAGTATGACATTCTTTTTCCCGAATTAACAGTAAGATATTTTCATTTTTTATCTTGCCAGTCTCTTCCTTTTCATTTATCCCAAGATGTTCCAATATTAATTCTTTATGTTGTGCAAGAATATTGCTCCTTACGTTTTGCATCGAATTTGGGTGCACTCAATATGATTTTCCTTTTCTCATATCTAACTTTTCTGCTTATATTTCTGTCTTTATGCATTTTCTTCTGTCAGGTGAAGGAGCATTTAGAAATATTTGCTAACATAAAGGGAGTGAATGAAGATTGCTTGGAGAATGCTGTGATTGAAATGGCTGAAGAAGTAAGTGTCCCTCACAGTTTTGGAGACGTGGGACCACTTATTCAATCTTTGATTGAGGAAGCTAAATGACTTCTCCATGTCTTCTCTATATATATATAATTGCTAGCAAAACAATTAATAATAATATTTTGATTTCCCTCCAAAAACGTTACAACTTATATTAATATTTTTAATTTATTTATCTATATATATAGGGACAAAAAATTAATGACAATTTTTCACACTTTTTTCATTTAATTATGAAAATTGGCCGTTACTTTTCTATTAATTAATTACAATAATATTTTTTAACATATTTATCACATAATATTTACTACTGACATTAACCTATTCTAAATTCAAATTATACACTTACAAAAAAAATTATAGCAAATTTTTTTTCTTCAGTGTTTTTTTTATTACTATTATTTTATTTTTATCTCGTTAAAAAGCCTTTTTAATAGCTAATTGGTTTAATGGAATAACAAACCCTTTAAAATTGTATAAATAATTTCAATAATAATAATAATTTTTTTTTTTCAACCAACTAATTGGTTTGGATCCATTATGTAAGTACATTATTTATTATATATTATTTTAGGCCATATAATATTTTATTTGTATATGTGCATGTGCACAAGCTTGATTACTAGTTTCTAGTTATAGCTGAGAATTTTCTTGTGCATAATGTTAGGTGGGTTTGGCAGACAAGCTCAATTCTCTTGTAGGGGCACTTTCTGGAGGTATGAAGAGAAAGTTATCCCTTGGAATTGCACTAATAGGAAACAGCAAGGTATGTATGAGCTTTTGTACAATGTCACCACTTCTTTTTCTGACTCCTGCTAAGTTTTTTTTTTTTTTGTGTGTGTGTGTGNGTTATTATCCTTGATGAGCCCACAAGTGGAATGGATCCGTACTCAATGCGATTGACATGGCAGTTGATAAAAAGAATAAGAAAGGGAAGGATAATATTACTTACTACACACTCCATGGATGAGGCTGATGCACTTGGAGATCGTATAGCTATCATGGCTAATGGTTCTCTTAAATGTTGTGGAAGGTTTTGGCTTTTGTTTTTTCAGATTTATATTGTGTTTATGGATAGATAGATAAATAAATAATTTGTGCATGTAAATATTCTATGCTAGAAATTAAAAAGTTAAACACATGAAATGAATCTCCATTCTCTGAGAAGGGAGGTGAAAGAAAAATAGAATACAATAAAGGTAGTAAATTTGATTAGAATATAGTGATTTGTAAAAAGGTAGCTGTTTCTTTTGTTGTTGTATAATTTGTCGTCCGTTTTTTGGCAGTTCGTTTTTCTTAAAGCAGCAGTATGGTGTTGGTTATACTCTTACTCTCGTGAAGGTGTGTCTTTTCACTTGTGCTGTTATCTTCTTCTTTCTTTTGCCTCTGTACGTCCTCTGAATGCGTTTATCTCTCCAAATCTCATGATGTTTCATCTTCAGCGTACACCAACTGCATCTGTGGCAGCTGATATTGTTTACAGTCACATCCCATCGGCAACATGCGTGAGTGAGGTATTTTTTTTATTTTTATCATGTGTCTGTCATATAATGAGGACCCCCTTTTTTTCCATTTTTGAATGATTTTCGAGAAGTTGCTTTTGTCATTTTTGGACATTGGGGTTCCTTATAGTTTTCTTTTACCTGCTATTTGGAAGTTAAAGCATTTTCTTAGAACAATACACATATCCATAATGGCTATGCTATACATTTGTTTCTATTTTTTCTTCCTTTTTTTCTTTTCTTTGTTTTTCTGT